TTTTATTTTACTTCGTTTAAACATAATTGCTTAGCTAAATTCTAAAACGATGTACAAAAGTTTCAACCCGATCAGTCCAATCTATACGGTTTGGATTTGGTTGTACTTTTTGTTTGAATCCGATCAAACCCAACTTGTGTGCAACCCTAATCAAGGTGCTTTTTAGTTTTTCATTTTTTGGGTTTTCCCTCCCCCCCTCCCTCTCTCTCTCTCTCTCTCTATATATATATATATATATATATATTCTACGCTACTTTGTTTGCACCAAGCGGGTACTTCAACGGGACGGAGTCAGGGACAAGGGGTGCATTGTCAACCTGCTCTCAGCTCTACCTATATTTCAAAAGGGAGGGGGTTTCCCCAACAACAATGACAACCAATTATGACAAACTCTGTCTCGTTTCCACCCTTCGGTTAGTCGTTGGTATGTATTAATCTCGAAACCCCATTTAATACGTGTGATATGACAATCAGATCTTTATACCGATAACTTCGATAAGAAATTAATGATTCACTCATTTATCTTAAAAAAAAACATAAATTATACATTGCTCTTTTACCCAATTTTTAAAATATTATTTATTTATCTCGTTATTTTGTTTTTTCAGATGAACCATTGGCTCTTGTAGGATAACTTTTTGTATTTGTCGATTCATGTTCTGTATATTATTGATCAAATGATTTTTCTGTCAATATCTAAAACAATTATATAATTTTTCTCTGATCATTTTATGGATTTTTTTTAATGAAATATATTTACTGAATTTAGCAATCCTTGTCAACAACTATGACTGATTCACATAATCCATCCAAATAATAAATTTTCCAGACTAACATTCAAACTCGATTTTAAAACGCTGGAGGTGGGCCCAAAAACCAAGGCAGGTGCAATTGTACCACAAAGCTAAATGACTAATTGAAAATATATATGATATTGACAAATGAAATGACCATAAAAAATTAAAAATTGTCTGTATCTTCTCGATTGTACTTTAGTTTTTGTTGTTGTCTCAACTCCACTCATTTGGGTTTTTTTAGTCTTGGTCTGTAATTTTTGTTGGCACGTTTGATCGTACCATTTGATTTGACATTTCATTAAGATAAGGTTTTACTGTGAGGTAATTGTTGGAAATAATGTTCAATATCACAGTTGAATTTAGTAAATAAGTTCCACAAGCCCGACGAGGCTACACACTTAGCCTAAATTGGAATGTAAAAAACCTTGGGAACTGATTTTGCTACTTGTTAATAGTTAACAATTAATTAGTAAATAATAATTTAATAATTTATTTTAAATTATTAATTAACTAAATGATTAGTTAATTGTTAATGGGTTTTAAATATGCTTAAAGAGGTTTTAGAAGTCCTTTAGGGATTTACGCCCAAATTGTGAATATTTAAACCTAACTAACTTAGAGATAAACATATAATTAAAACCCTAAGCAAAAATCGCCCCTCTCTCTCTCTCTCTCTCTCTCTCCCATCTACAGCCGAACTCAACCCCAAGGGGTTCTTGAGGTCGATTTTGGTCCTCCAGGTAAGAAGGTTTCTTGTTCCGGTTTACGGCTTCACATGCGGACTGGTAGAGGGATTCCACGTTGGATTCTTAATCGTTTTGATCTATAATCGAGGTGCATTTGTAGATTTTATTTGTTGCTTTGATTACATAAACGTGTTCATCGGTTTCGTTATTACCATGTTTCTGCATTTTTCGTATAAAGATTCGATTTTATCGTACGTAATAACCAACAGTAATAACTGAACACAAATTTGTTAAGTGTACAAATTGTTACTAAATAAGAGAACTTTTGAATTTTTTTTTCATGTTAGTTACGTTGGTTATCAAAAATTTGTTTTATACCAGCATCACACTTTGATTAAAGCAAATCACATTGCAGTAAAATAAAATCAACTTTTTTCTTCGTTTTTTGAGAAACAACGAATACATGGGCTATGCTATTATGGTTCAAAACTTCTGATTTTTGACATCCAAGACATAACACAGTTGGGTTTCGGTGCAATATATATGCACAATGAGCGAGTGTTTGAGTCAGACAGTTACAGTGTGAGGGAGGCAATTCGTTCGAGATTATGCTCCTCGTGGTCGTGGGCACCAGACTCTTAAAGCCAACCTGCCTGCCAAGAATTTGAATACTTGATTTACCTCTTGTATGACGCGTTTAAGTTAGGACGGTGTGGACCGACTGAGGAGTTGCAGACAATTCTATAATTCATAGTTTTTATAAATAAAAATAAATACAAAAATGGTTTTGTTTTAATACTTTGACTAATTCACACCATTTTTTTTCAATATTTAATATGAAACATCATGGTTTTAAACCTTTACAACTAGTTGAATCTTGAATTTCTTATAATATTAATTTAAATAAAAGTAAATTACAAATATCGTCCCTGTGGTTATACAAAAGTTACATATTGAGTCCCTCATATTCTTTTTTTATGGATTGAGTACCTATTATTTGCTTTTCCGACACGGACTCTGTTAAGAAAGTTTGATTTAAATTAGGGTATGTTGGTCATTTTGCGAATTTCTGTAATTTCCGTTTGTTGTACAACACTGAATGCATTTTGTACAGGTATCTATAACATTTAATAATAAAATTTAAACAAAAACAAAAAATACATTCCGCGTCTTCGACCACTCTCTCTTTTCCAATCGTCTTCATTGACAACTTTCCCTATATAGCAAATAAACTTAAACCCAGATCCTAATTACCATTAATAAATCTAAAGGCAAACTTTAAACACCAAAACTGAACCAAAATCCAAACCATAAGCACCAAAAAGATAAACAGATCATGAAAAACCTAACAGATCTCTAAACATGATTAAAAACTCTAGCACATCTTCAAGTCTGGTGTCGGGTTACAGTAGGTCGGTTGTCATGTAGGGAAAACAGAACAAGAATGGATGGTCATGACGGAAAACATACCAGGAGGAGGCATTTTCAGGAGAATGTGAATCCCAGCGTCATAAAACAGACCAAAAATTTCAATGAAAATTTGTAAAAAGACGAAAATACCCTTGACCTAACAAAACAAATTCAACGAAGTCAATATTAAGGACCCAATCCATGATGAAAATGAAATCACAAATACCAAGTCCATAAAAGAAATTGGTGGGACACAATCGTAATTTTGATATAACCACATGGACCAAATTTATAATTTACTTTTAAATTAATTATTAAATATTAATAATTTAATATAAAAGGTGGGCCAATAGAAAGAGTATATTTTGAATAGAAAATAGGTTTCATAGTCATGTTGATGGTTGGCCTCCAACTTTTCAAGATTCCCACTATTTACCTTTTTGACCTTCCTCTTTTAGACATAATTACTCATTTGTCCTTATCTCTTAATTGTCCTAAATTTTACTCTGCTTCAGGTGTAATGAAATAATTCTACATCTAATCATTCAAATCACCACACGTGTTACCAAGTACTTTACTTGAATGACATGCAAACCCTTTGGCTTTTGTAAATTTGCACTTTTGACCTCCAACTTTGTAATCCAATGTCAATGTGTCAAAGTCCACGTTTGTTATGATACAAAAACCAATTTCCAGGTTCAAATCCAAAGAGAAATGAAAATTCCCTTGTGATCACAAAGATTCAAATGCAATGACTCCAGGCTATCTGCAAAGCAGGTGGTCGTCATGAGATTAGTCGACTCGCATAGCGGGTTGGATATCCAGGTTAATAAAAAATAAAATAAAAAACCAATTTCCAAAAAAGTGTAGCGTCAAGGTGACACTAGAAATCTAGGGAAATTAGGAAGTTCAAATCTTAGAAGTTGGATCATGTTAACAGTGGAAATAAAAGCACTCAGACGTGTAGCTAATTGACAAATGACTAAATGGGCGGGACGACTTTGCTCAAATACACAATAGCTGCAAGTTCGAATCATGTTGGATATGGATTTGAATCTTTCTGCTAGCCTCAGTCGTTGATCGATACTGAAATGCCTCCTCACATGTGGTTCACAGGAGACATGTTCTGTGTGGGGCCGGTTGGAATTGCTAGTAATCAACTTTTTTGCTCAAGTGGAAACAAATAACAATATAAATGAGAAAAAAAAAAGATTTTGTTAACGCTGCGTAAGGCTCCACAGTGAGATCTCTTGGTCCTAGAAAACATGTCACAATTAAAAGTACATATATTATCGATGCATATGAACGTGGCTTATGGTTGTTATCACAAGCGTTATGCTTGTTAGTTTTTCATTATTTTTTTATAATATGATATTATAACACTTCTAGACCATTGTTTTATCTTATTTTTTAAGACAAATAACTGATTTAGTTTACACGTATCTTTGATAATTTAGATAGTAGTTGTTTTCACCTCTAAACATGTCATGTAGTCGCCAATGGGCCTTTGGCCTAACGGTATGTGAGTCTTTGGTCTTCGAGGTTAATGGTTCCAATCTCATAAAAGGCGAGGATAGTGTATGAGTTTATTTGTTCTATTTGTCGTATATAAATATTATATATTTAAAAAAAACATGTCATGTAGTCATAAAATAATAAAATATGTATTATTTTCGATTACATCAGTGTACTCACGACTAGATTTTCATTTGACCGCGAGATACTATTTTGTTTGTTAAAAGATGGGCAAACTCTTGGTATTTGGAATTATTCGGTTGGAATGTTGCATGACACAATTTGTTTTCTTTGAGGACCAATGGTGTTATTTAGCAAATGTAAAGGTGCAAAAGTGAAATTTCATCAAATTTATGGGGTGGTTTTGAAAAACTGGACACGTCATCTCATAATAGATCGGGCGTAGGAGGAGGTTGTGAGTTGTGAATTGCACCGGAACCTTTCTTCAAATCATTGGGTCCTACTACACCGAGTCAATGGGGGCGCAAAAAGTCAATGTTGGCGAACACCATCTTGATTTGAGAGGCCAACAGTAGCATTCGACCCAATATCTAATCGACCTATTGTTACGTGTTCTGATTAAAAGATTGCAGTTAATTTGAAAAACAATGGCTGCAATCGTCACCAACTTCATCTGCTTTAGCTTGCAAACGCTTACCAGTTCAAAGATTTTTCCTTTTTTTACTTATTCTCTTCTCATTATCAAACACCCACAAAATCTTACTGAAGAACATTCAACAAGGTTTGCCCAATCACGCATAAAACCCTCAACCACCCTCTTAATTGTCAAATGATAATTACGCGCATATCCATGTGAACGCAGGGAGAGGATATCGTTATTATTTGGCATAAAATCGTATGCACGCAACCTGTTTGATTAAATGTCTCTTTGATGTGGTAACTTTGCTGGTTTTGAGATTTTTGTTATTGAGCTACTGTTTGGAGTTATTGTATGGGAAGAGAACATTATTGAGCTTTGGGTTTTGTTTGTTGTGTTGTTTGGGCTCAGGTGGATGGTTTGGATATTTGGATAAATACAAGGTGTTCATTTTGAGCCATATTTGGGAATTGGTGTACCACACAATATCCTCGGGATGTCCGAATTAAGATTTTCATGGTTCAGAGTGGTATGGGCCATGAGTTTGTTGCTTGTTGTTGCAGACAGTCAGTCTACTCATCCTACCGAAGGTAAGCTAATCACACTGCTTTTGTGATTTTTGCTTTCATGTTTTAAAGGAGTTTTTTGTTCAAAGATGCCATATTTTGCAAATAGATATGATAATTTGCATGTTATAACATCAACGAGGAGAGATTCTCCATCCAGATTTTATGTAAATAGTGAGATCCCACGTTGGTTGGGGAACATAGGTTGCCTTTTAAGGGACTGATACCTCCTCTACGGATGCGTTTTAAAACCATGAGTCCAATTGTGGATAAAGCAGACAATCCGGTACGGTTGGCTGGTGATGTTACATTAATTATTACAAAAAACATGTTTATCTTTTTATTAACATGATCCATGTTGCTAGAAAACCTTTGCACATGTTTTCTAAAAAGGTCAGAATTAGAATCTTGAGGTTTTACTTTCATTCTTGTCTATTTTATTTCCCTCTCCTTTAGGGGGGGGGGGGGGGAGTTAAGCTCTTGCTATCTTGCTCACAGGCTTATATATATATTATCCCTTATAACCTCGATATATTCGACTTACCTTTTGCATTTGAAGGGCGTGGGTGGGGACTTTGGACCATAGTTAGCAACCATTGGTTTGCATGGTTATATGCTATGTGAAGATTTTTCTGAATGTCACTTTTGATATTCTTCTCTGTTTACAAGCTGAATTTGCACAGATCATCTGATGTACACAACGTTTGAAGTTTAATGTAGCTTTAATAGAACCTAACTCTATGCGGTCATAGTATGTGTAGCAGATATGGATTCAGAATTCAAGTGTGGACACAAAATAATTAGCATAATATAAAATAAAACAAAAAATAATTATAAAAGTTCCATTTCACAAGTGGTTTTTTGCAACACCCAAATGATTTTTTCCTTGTTTTCTGCCGCTGTTACCAAAAAATTGAAAGAGAGCCAAAGGGATTTAACCTATCGGTAGGCTGCAACTACTTTTTGTTAACTTAGACCTCAGGGGAGCACACATCAAATTAAAGCGGACACACCTTTAAACTACGTCGGCAGGATAGAGCGGTAGCGCGTGCATCCCCTCCCTTCTTCTTAAATCCACCAATGATCTGTAGTTAACATCTGAAGTCCTGGATGCATTAGTCTATGTTATGATTCTTGTATGCCCAGATGCACATTGAACGAGAGAATTTCCATTCCTAGTAATTGTGAGATTATCGATTATCATAGCTAATTTTTATTATAGAGGGGCTTCTATTTATCAGGACATGTTTGAAAGAACCTCTGTAAAGGCAGATGTACTCTATGCTTACGATAATCTTGTCAATTAATGTGCAGTGACAGCACTGCAGGTTATTAGGCGAAGCTTTGATGATCCAGAGAATAGTCTCAGTAACTGGAACCGTGGAGATCCATGTGTATCAAATTGGACTGGGGTCTTGTGTTTCAACACAACCATGGACGATAACTATCTTCATGTGCAGGAACTGTAAGAAATCACCTTTTTTTATGATCTCTGGTTTTCAGAAATTTTCATCTGTCAAGAATACCTTTTAACATCACAACTTAAAAGAACAACCATGGGTGATGAGGTTGCATGATCAGATTTGAGTATTCTCAAATCTTGAATTGTGGTGTTGGGTTTGTTTACCCACAATGGTGAGAAGATGATAGATTGGAAGAAGGTTGTTGGTATATGAAAGGAGGAGTGAATGTGATTTTGGCAACTCCTAGGGTTGGTTCATTTCTGCTTTTGCCAAAAAAGTCTTTTTACATAAAAGATCAACATATCATTTTCCGAATTTTTTTTGACCAAGGGTGATCTCATCATCACTGTTAGAATTTCTTGTCTGGTCACATGGATCCCCTTTTGTTGTTTTCCGTTCCATGTTGACAAGTATCATGGCATTGCCAATTTAGTTGCCTCCATTTTGTTTTTTTGTAGTTGTAAGTACAGAAGTGGCAACAGATAAAGAGATTATGTACTTGACAGTCTGTATTTCCCCATCCATTAATATTGGGATTGATTCATATAATTGCCAATCATTTTTAGCAGCTAAATGAGAAAGTAGTTCTGGATGCCAATAGGGAAGAAGAGTTTCCTTGATTCAGTATGATACACAGTATGATACAAAAAGGGACTTTCACCATAGAACTTTATGGAAGTAACCCATGACGACTTTGATTTGCTACATTACATATTATCTTTGTTCACTTTTTGTTCAGACTGCTTTCCTTCAGCCAATGAAAGGATGCCAGAAAACACTCAAAAATGTCCTAATTTGCCTCTTAGTATGAAGAATTGAAGATTTAGCCCTTGTTGATTATAGGTAGCTGTAACTTTCACACAAACTTTATCCATGCACTTAGAGTTTATCTAGCCGAAGGAGGTCTCAAATGTGGATTTATTTGGTTTTTAGTACTTCAGAAAAAGAAAAGACATAATTAAAAGAATTGCATTCTAAACTATATGGGTAGGCTAAAAGTGAGACCATTAGTGCTGCTTTTCATACTCCCTTATTAGATCTCACGCCTAACCTACAAGAAAAGGGGCTACGGCCTTTGAATCCACCTTCAAGAAGAGAATTAGTATGGATCATCCTAATCCTTTCTATATGTATATTGAAGTATCTAATATTTATATATTACGAATACTCACGCACACTTCTCACCTTTGGTGAGGTTTGAACAGTTGACCTCCACGAAGGCTAGGCTCTACCGGTAACCCGCTGGTCCAATGACCCTTTGGTTCCTTTCTGTATTTTCATGCCCACACAATGACCATGTGATATTAGTCATTATGTTCCCCTTCACTACATTCTCTTAATATACTCAATGCCCGAGCCTTCAATTTTCCCACTAACCATGGGATTTTTTAATATGTAACAACAAGAGGAGTTTCGTAATTAACGTGAATCATTTGATGGTACTTTTTTATGTGAACTATATGTGTTTGTAACTTTGTACCATTTGAAAATAATTCCTTGTATAATCTTTGCAGGCAACTACTGAATCTCAACCTTTCAGGAACTTTATCTCCAGACCTAGCACGGTTATCTTATATGGAAATATTGTGAGCCAAGTTACAATTTGTTGCCTCTTGGGTTCTTGAAATTATCCAAGACTCATTCTCTGCAGTGGCTTCTTATTTCTTTTCTCTTTATAATATCTGCTTATGCATATTTACTCTTCATTTTTAAGGGATGTCATGTGGAACAAGATAGGTGGGAGTATACCAAAAGAGATCGGTGAACTTGCAAATTTGAGACTCTTGTAAGTTGATCATCTTTCCTGGTTAATTTATATTAATCGCCATTTAGATGATAATACCAGTGAAAAATAAGAGTGAAAGATATTGTTGCTTATAACTTTGCAGTCCCTCCATGCAAAATAAATGCAATATTTGACTTGGCGTATAGTTTTGTGATAGTCAAATATCTAAAAGGAGAAATTAGAGAAATCGTTATTCTACCTGTTATATTTTCCACTTATGTGTTGTACTACCTATCTTATATTGCTACTTGCACACACCTCTGTTTCGTGTACAAGCCAGTGGTCTTCACGGAAACATCCTCTCAATCCCAGTGGTTGGGGTTAAGTCTGTGTACATCCTGCCTCTCTCAGACCCTACTTTCGACTGGGATATACTGGGCTTGTTTAGTGGATCAAAACTTTAAAAGCAGCGTAGTGATGTTTTGTAATGATTCTTGGTAAAACATTGTAAATTTAGATTGGATACTGAAAGGAAAATGTTGCAATTAGGGGCTGTTTGGTTGGTTTTCCATTAAGTCCTGTATGAATAAAATTGTATGTGTGGATTAATCTGCTTGTAAAGATTGGAAGGGTTTTTGTTTGGAAGGGATTTTTCATAGATGAAATGAGCGTGTTTTTAATAGGGAGGGGCAGGTTTGGAAAAAACTTGGCTTTCTGCATAAAGCTCCCCCTACAAGCTTACTGATTAAGCCACTTTCTATTTCATTAAGCCACTACCGAACAGTCATGTATAACAGATGGAATAAGCTCTGAGTCCCATTAAGTTCATTAAGGTGCTAACAAACAAACCCTAATTGTGGGATAACTGAAAAGGAAACTGTAGCTTTTATTTTGGAACAGAGGAATTATTTAAAATTAAGCATAATAATCTTTCGTTATAAATTACAAGTGTAATCTTCTGTCTGACATTACAAAAGGGGATTAAATGCTGATCCATTCATGCAATTTGTGATTATGTGCATGCAGGCTCTTGAATGGAAATCAACTAACAGGCTCCTTGCCAGAAGAGATTGGTCATCTCCCTAATCTGGACCGAATACAAATTGACCAAAATTTTATATCTGGACCAATACCAACGTCATTTGCAAACTTGAACAAGACAAAGCACTTGTAAGGATTTTGTTCAGCACTATTTATCCTTTACTTGATACCGTTCCTATATATTTATTTGGACAAAATGCATTGAGATGCAACAAAGTTTAGTTTAGTTCCTATTTAGTGTTACGAAGAGTTTTTTTTTCTCAATTGATGTAACAAAGTTTCAAAATTTTCTATTTTATAAATTATACCCATTTTGACCGATAACCTACTGATCTTGTAACATATGGTGACATGGATACCCGTTTACGAAAGGTGTGCGAATGTGGTATGGCGAAGTGGACGATAAATTTTGACATCCACATCATCAAATGTTACAAGATCAGGATAAAGAAGTAGGAAGCTTTTGTACTTTGTTTCATTAAATAAGAAAATTTGAAACTTTGTTATGTTAAATAGGAAATTAGAAACTTCGTTACATTTATTGAGAAAACAAATTCTTTGTTACACTGAATAGGAAGGCAAGCTTCATTATATTAGGATGCATTTTTTTGCCCTATATAAATATTATATACTTCAAAAAAAGTTGCTATGGCGACCCTACTTATCCTTTCCTTGTTATTGTTCATATATTCTTTATTCTATCCGAGATTTGTAATAATCAAAATGACTATTATGTGGGTTTGTTTTCTTTCCTCTGGGCAGCCATATGAACAATAACTCACTTAGCGGACAAATTCCTCCTGAGCTATCTAGATTGCCAGATCTTGTTCACTTGTAAGTTTATGCTTTGAATTTATCAACTTCGGGTGCACTCTCACCTACCCGACATTTGCTAATATGGACGTATGCTGCAGGCTGCTTGACAATAACAACTTATCAGGCTATCTTCCTCCAGAGCTCAGTGAACTGCCAAAACTACTTATACTGTATGCTTTCTTTATTTACTTGATTGATGTTGAAGAGAACGCTATTTTGGTATAAAAAAAAAAATAAGATCAAGGGGTTCGTTTGACTTCTTTTGTGGAGAAATCAGAATTTTAGAAATTTGGTGCATGAGAATTTTTTATGTATAATTTTATCATCTTTATTATTTATGATTTATGATTTTTCTTTCTTAATTCCGTTGGATCGTGTAGCAATTTATTTGTAATCCCATGTCCCAATTTGTTACCACTTTTATTTTTTCTATTTATATAAGATCTCGGGACGTTCTAAAATCATCTCGACATTAAATGTTTTTTGTTTAGGTTTCACATATACCCTTGCCCAAAAGAAATGAAGAGCTAATACAAGTTTATTGGCTCATTGATGTTGAGATGCCTGCTTTTCTCTTGCTTTGGTCTCCTTTTCTATGTTTCTAGTCTTAATCTTCCATCCTTTTTTCTAATTGTTTGGCCTTTTTGAGCAAGCTTCGTTGTTGTACACACCTTTTACAAGTCGGGGCTATTCACAAAAACAGTCGCTCTATTCTCTGGGGTAGAGGACATATCTACGTACATCCCCTTCCCCTCCCACCCATACCCCAACTTGGGGTTGGATATACCGGGCTCGTTTGGTATGGTCTGATCTGGGAATAGTGGTTAGGTTCACATGCCTGAGGAGTGATTAGTACATAATGTGTGTGTGTGTATATACATATATGTACTGTGATGTTCACTTGATAACCATCCATCTATATGATATGCACATGTGCATACAAGTAATTGAAGTTGTTTCTTGGTTTCTATGCATGCATGCATGTTATGCACATGTGCATATACCGGACAAATGACTTGTATGCACATGTGCATACCAATGATACCATACAGATGATGGTTCCCACGGTGTTCCTCAGTTTTTCATTTTTTGCGATTTTCCATAGAACCTGACCTTATATATATATATATATATATATATATATATATATATATAGTCATATATTGTGTCCCACTGTTGCCGTGTTAGATCATCTATGCAATGTTTCCTTGACTTCCATCACCATCTATGAAAAAAGTATCATGACTCTTTTCTTTCCTTCCTTTGGCAGTCAACTTGACAACAATCACTTTGATGGAAGTATACCTCCCTCTTATGGCAACATGGTTCAATTGTTGAAGTTGTAAGTGTAATTTCATTTTCATGCCTGCGCTTATGTTCTAAAGAATTGTAGTGCTGATGAACCTCAATACATATCACACTTCATATACTCAAGATTACATCCCAGGGTTTCTTTATATGGACCGTTTTCAAAAAAAATAGAGCTAGTTCCCATTTAACTAGATGTAGTATTATAATGCAAATGCTGAAGTACAAAATATCGTATATAGAAAATATGTACTGAAGGCCCTGCAAGTTATAATTTTCTTATAACTGTGGAATGCAACAAAGTACTTGACTTTTATGGTGAAAACGAAATGTGATGTGTATTAGCTAATGCATAACCTTGAGTTAGTTCCAAATTTCTCTCGGTTTTTATCACAAAGGTAGGAAAATAGGAGTTTTTGCAGGTTTGTGATCATTTTGGTTTGGTTTTTGTTGGCTGTGCCAGGAGTTTAAGGAATTGCAGCTTGCAAGGACAAATCCCTAATCTTAGCAGGATACCAAAACTTGCTTATATGTAAGTATGCAATAACTCTTTGATGTTTTGAAGTGATATCTGGCAAAAATCCTTGTATACCCATGTATATGTGTGTTCGTCCATGTTGTGTTGACCGTTACTTTGTTTATGACAATTGTGCATTTCAGAGATCTCAGTAACAACAATCTCAATGGATCCATACCGGCCATGAATCTTTCTGATGATATCACAACAATGTAAGAACACTTGATCTTTTACAGGGTCTATTCTTTGATCTACTCCTGGTCTTGGTTTAGGTTCTTATAATATACGAACAATTTTGTCTAAGCTGTGAAGTTAAGAGTCTAAACCAATCACTATCATAAAACTGCGCAGAGATCTGTCAAGGAATCGGCTTACTGGAACTATTCCTCCCAGCTTTTCGGGCCTTCCTGTTCTACAAAGACTGTGAGGATTCTTTAACCTTTCCTCTGTCTTCTTTTCAAATGCGACTATATTTACTCATATGGTACTTTGTAGAAGGTATTTTCACCTTGAATTCGGGTGCCCTTCAATATTACAACTTTCAGAAGCATATATATATATATATATATATATATATATATATATAGGGAGGTCCACGAGAAGATCCCCAAAAAACTGAAATATATATATAGGGAGGTCAAGGGGAAACCCCCAAAAAATTAAAAAACTGAGGAACACCCTGGTAACTGTTCATCCGTATGATATACATAGGTGCATACAAGTAATTGAAGTTGTTTCATGGTTTCTATGCACGTGTGTATGTTATGCACATGTGCATACCGGATAAATTAGTTACAAATTACTTGTATGCACATTTGCATAGTGTACAGATGAATGGTTACCATGGTGTTCCTCAGTTTTTCATTTTTTGATGTTTTCCCCTGAACTTGATCCTATATATATATATATATATATATATATATATCTGTTGTTTATAGATATTATGGATGAACACGGTTATCTGATGCCATTTCCACTGCAGGGCTCTTTTCAACAACTCATTAAGTGGCACAGTTCCATCTACTATTTGGCAAAACAGGACTTTCAATTCAACCGAAGAACTTACTCTGTAAGACCCAAAACATGAAGCCACTCCTTGTTATTCTCTTTACTATAACCTAGGGGCGGATCTACATAGGAGCATACTCTGGCACGAGCCACCGCTTCATGGTTCCTTACTTCCATCGTAACGCAAAAAGTTGCGTTTTCGAAGGGCGCCACCAAATTGTTTTGTTGGGTGCCCTTATATTTTCTAAAACTGAAATCTTGGCACAAGTCTTTCATGGCGGAGTTGGTAAATGTTGCTGCCTTTTTTACTAAAGGCCCGGATTCGAGTCCCAGTTTTGTCAAATTTTTTAGTTTTTGGCTTAAATTTTGGTGTTTTTTATATACCTCTTGTTTTATAAAAAAATTGTAGACAGGACTCGAACATGGGTTCCTTGGGGACAAGGAACCAACCAACAAATCTATAATAATATTGTTAAAATTTTCCATGGATTTCCTTTATAGTCAAATTGTGTTACCACTTTTTTTTTTGGGTCCGCCTCTACTCTAAGTGTACGTGCAAGTGTTACTATGCACACCAACACACACATATTTGTGTCTTGCTTGTTTATGTATATATATGTAAGCATTCACATAGCCTAGTTAAAATTTGTAAACAATGTGTTCCTTGATGATCTCTAGTTATATACTCCCTCCATCCCATGAAATTTGCAACATCTGGTCAAATGTATTAAATGCCCTCCAATGGTGACAAAACAAGGGGATCTTGTTGATCAATAGCAGTAATAGAAAGTAATGATAACAATGGGGAAATAGGCAAGTCTAATGTTGAAATTTGCCTAAGAAGGACATGTTGCAATTTTCATGAAACATCTGGATGGCAATTGTTGTTGTTTTCATGGGATGAAGGGAGTAGTATTCTTTTTGGAAGGGTGCCTAGGATATCCCAAACTGATCCCGGAAAATTGTGACTGTAAAACATCAACCATGATAAACTCAATGGCCACAATTGTTGTGGACGCCTGGAATTGAACCCGGGGCTGATGGGATATTCCACCACCTCCCCCTTGGTCTCAACCACTACGCCACAACCCTTGTGCTTATGAATGGAGTATATTAATGGTAAAAAGTGTGCAATCTTTCTCTAAACTCACATCTTCTTTCGTATTGCAGGGATATGAAAAATAATAGGCTTTCAGGCATTTCAGGCAGTCTTGACCTCCCTCCAAATGTCAACCTTAGGTCCGCTAATTTTCTTGCTATTTTATCTTCAGAGAAGATATTCATTTTATGTTTGGGGTCATCCATAGATTTATCATGAATTTTTTTATAAAAAAATGGTATTCGATATTCTACTTATGTCACATTCACTTTTATGATTATATCTTTTTCAGGCTCCAAGGAAACCCTGCATGCTCAAATGGCAGCATGGAAGACTTCTGTGGCTCTTCGAGTGCATTAGTCAGTCATCTGCAGAGCACCCCATCAAACTCAACCGATAACTGTGAACCACAGTCATGCCCAACATTTTACGAATATGCACCAGGGTCTCCTGTACGATGCTTTTGTGCTGCACCACTACTTATTGGTTATCGGTTAAAGAGTCCAGGATTCTCAGATTTTGCGGCATATTTCTATCCATTTGAGGTGTACCTAACCTCTGGTCTTGAAATAAAGCGTTTTCAGCTTGACCTTACATATGAATGGGAAAAGGGTCCTCGATTACGAATGTCTTTGAAGATTTTTCCTGAATTTACTGGAAATAATTCTAATACCTTCAATAGCAGTGAAGTGTTACGGATAAGGGACTTGTTCACACAGTGGGAGATTCCAGATAACAGCATTTTTGGACCTTACGAGCTTCTTAATTTCACACTATTGGATCCTTATAGAGATGGTATGTTTCCTATAACACAAATCTTATGAATTCTTTAATTTTCCTTTTCTTCTATTCACTTGTTATAGATAGGTTCAATCAGGGGTCCCTCCATTTCAGATGGCCTCATGAAAATTCTAACACTTCCCATGCAAATACCTATTTGCCGATAGTCATGGTTACAAAAACTAATGATTTTGATTTGGGTCCCAAATATTCCCTTCTTTTGTTTCTACGGAAGTGTACTCACGGACTGTTTATTAGCAGCTTAATGAGACTCGCAACTTATTCGTTCAACTATATATGACTGTTTGGTAGTGGCTTAATAATATAGGAAGTGACTTATTCAGTAAGCTTCTAGGGGGAGCTTTATACAGCAAGCAAAGTTTTTTCCAAATCTATCCATCCCAATTAAAAAACACACTCTTTTTGTCTATGAAAAAACCCTCCCAAACAAAAATCTTCTCATACAGACAGATTAGTCCATACTTGGAAAGAGCTGCTAAATTAAGTTCTAGTTTAGGTGAAGGAAGTATGACCGCTTTACCAATAGTTGAAACCCAATCGGGAGATGTTTCGGCTTATATTCATACTAATGTAATTTCGATTTATTGGATTACAAATAGAGAAGAATAGCGGATATTTTATAAAAGCGCCAAATACCTTTCATACAGGACTTAATGGAAACCCAACCAAACAACCCCTCACTCTGTCCCAAAATAAATGGTCACGATGAAAAAGGTTCACAGTTTTAGAAATGGGTAATTAGTACACTTTTTATAAACTAGATGACAATCTTACCCTTAATAAGAGAGGTAATAATGAACTTCTCATCTCATAATTAACGGTAGAATTGGAAAGTAGGCACTTGCTTTTGAAAGTGGACACTTATTTTGGAACGGAGGGAGTATTTTAGATATCTTACAAAATGTCAAACACCTTTCTAAAACTACATGCCCGGTTAAACATTGCCGTTTTCATGAGACAGAGGCTCGTTGTTCTTAGATACCTAACATATAGAACTCTTGATACATGGTAAAATCTTGGTCTTTTTTCCGTAATTTTGATAAATAATGGCTGGTAAATTTTGGATTTCATGGATGGATGATACTGATTTTGACAAATAATGGCTGGTAGATATTGTGTTGTCACTTTGATTATTTATTGTAATTAATACTCATTTTAATTGCAGTTATTCCCACCACCACCTCCTCCTCTTCTGGTGTAAGCAAGGGTGTAGTGGCAGGCATTGTGATAGGGGCTATCATAGGTGCGGTTTTACTCTCTGCATTTGTGTCACTTTATATCTTACGGTTGAACCGGAGGAAGTACCATGCAGTTTCAAAAAGACGCCATGGTGAGTAAATTTGTGATTTTGCTGTACTAATGTCACATACCCCCTCTGATCCAAAATGAGGTACACTTTGACTATTGAGGTCAAAGTTTATCACCTATCGAACTTTAAATCCATATAATTGTGTCATGCCTTCGGCGTGTAGCTCAGTTGGCAAAAGGGTGGGGCGACTTTGCCCAATTACAAGGCAGTTCCCAGGTTCCGGGTTCGATGCCCCCAGCCTCAGCCGTTGAGGGAGCTAAAAAATTCCCCCTCACATTGGTGTCCTTGGAGGCAGGTTCCATGTGAGGCCGGTTGGGGTTGCTGGTAATCAACTTTTGCCAAAATTATATCATGCACTAAACATCTGCAAAATGCCTATTCTAGTAATTTATTATGAAGATTTACGTAGGGCGTGTTCAAAATGAGAGCGTTGAGAATATGAAATGATGAGAAGACGGATGAACAATATAACAATATGGGTGTCACATCAAAAAGAATAAAATGCTCGTTTTTTGGTATAATATGTTTGGCTCCAATTTGGTTATACTTGGCCTATTTTTTGATTAAAAAATAGGGGGCTTGTTTAGAAAAAAGTTGTAACCATCTTTTTTAGTCACATCCCTTGGAACATCTCAGTTAACGGTTGGGATATATTCTCAATTTCTCAACCTTTTTGTCATTCTCATATGAGCCTCCTTGAGGTTAACATAGTTATCAATTGCTTTGGAAACTTAATATTCATATGAATTTAAACCTTTTAAGTTGAAAATGAGGCATTTTGACTTCAAAAAGAGCAACTTCAGGCAGTGTATGGTGGAGTTCAAACAATCTCTTTGTGCAGTTTCCAGGGCCTCCCTTAAAATCGAAGGAGTGAAAAGCTTCACCTATGAAGAAATGAAACACGCTACAAAAAATTTTGATGTTGCCAGTGAAGTTGGGCAGGGTGGGTATGGAAAGGTATACAAAGGTATCTTCGCTGATGGGACCGTTGTCGCCATTAAACGAGCCCAGGAGGGATCACTACAGGGCGAAAAAGAGTTCCTTACCGAAATAGAGTTATTGTCAAGATTGCATCATAGAAATTTGGTTTCTTTGCTTGGATTTTGTGACGAAGAAGGCGAGCAGGTAAAATCTACTTGTATTATATGCTTGTTTTCATTGGGGGCATTTGGTTCAAGCAAGGGAATAAAAATGAGAATGGAAATGACAGCAAGTGAAAATGGGAATGAATTTTCATTCCCCTGGTTAATCTGGAATGAAACCAAACAAGTTGATTGCTTGGAGGGATTCAGAGCAAGAACATGCTAAACCGTATCCATATTTGCATCCCTTTGTGAAGGATAGTCTAAAATCGCTACCACGCCAAATTATATAAGAAATAGCATGAATCTATAAATGGGTGTTTGTAAACAGATTGTCCCAGAGTGCAAAGAGGGGGCTAGATGAGTAGAGATTGCCAGAGAGTGTTGAGTCCTTAGCAGAGGCGGACCTAGAATTTTTTTCAAGTGGTGGCACCATTCATGGGCGGACCCACATGGATAGATAAAGTGGCACGCGCCACAGCTTCATGGTTCCGTCGTAAGGGAAAAAATATTACATTTTTGAAGGGTGCCACCATATTGATTTGTTGGGTGCCACCACATGGTTTTTGAAACTGAAATGTTGACACAAGTGGTTAAGATGGTAAATGCTTTTGCCTTTGCCTTTGTACAAAGGCACAAGTACGAGTCCCATAATTGTCAAATTCGTTTTTTTAGCTTAAATTTTGATGTTTTTATGTCCCTCTTGTGTTTTTAAAATATATGTAAACCACACTCGAAAATGGGTTCTTTCTATGTAAGGACAAGGAACCAACAGATTTATACGAATATTGTGAGAAAAAAAGTAGATATTTTTGTTTAGTCAATTTGTCAACCACTTAAAAAGTTTTCTGGCTACATTGGATTATGAAAAACGAAGCTATCGCTACTTTCTTACAAAATCGTCATTAGTTAGTTCCTTGCTTTTTGTATGTGAGGTTCTGTAGTAGAGTCTTTTATCCCAAAAATTTCAGAAACATAAAATAAACCTGACATTAAAAGCTAAAAACTAAGAAAATGATACAAATGGGATTTGAACCTGCGCCTCGAATGGGAGAAAAGACTATGCAAACCAACTCTACCAAGAGAAACTTGTGTTATTATTGTAGTTTCAAGAAATATAAGGTTGCACCAGTAAAATAATACGGTGGCACCTTTTACGACCCCGAATTATTTTATACTATGATGGAGGAACGAAGCAGTGGGTCTGCCCCTAGTCCTTAGAGTGGTAGACCTTAGCTTTGATACCATGTGAGATATGTGGAACTCCATCAGATTGCTCTCTAGTCTTCAAAAGAGGCCTTAAGGATAAAAGGGAGGTTCCAACTTATATTGATAAGAAATGGTCAACTCTAGCTGATGTGGGACTCTAATACCCATTACATGATGCATATAGCATCAATGTTGGCTCTCGGATTCATCTATTTTGTCACTGTTGAGGGGTATTTTAGATATTTGGCTAGTACTAAAAATCTTATATTCAACTATGTAGCCATCAAACTTTGCACTTATTTTCGGACTGAGAAAACCAGATAACGATGTGACCCCAATTCTGAATCATAAGATTTTATGCATGCAGATGTTGGTTTATGAGTTCATGTCTAATGGCACTCTCAGAGATCACTTATCAGGTATGTCTTAATAAACTTCCTTATGCTACTCTCTATAATCTAATACTTAGGGGCTGTTTGGTTGATTTTCCATTAAGGCCTGTATGGATTAAACTGTCTATATGGATTATGCTGTCTGTATGGACTGGTTGTACTTCAAGTTTTCCAAACTTACGTGTGTTTACGTTGAACAGCTACAGAAAAGTATAAAGAATCGTTCAGTTTTGCTACGAGATTAAGAATTGCATTGGGTTCAGCCAAGGGTATTCTCTACCTACATACGGAAGCTAATCCTCCGATATTTCATCGAGATATCAAGGCCACGAACATCTTACTTGACTCCAGACTCGTTGCAAAGGTAGCAGATTTTGGACTTTCACGACTTGCTCCAGTTGCTGATTTGGAAGGAATTGTTCCTGGTCATGTATCGACAGTCGTTAAGGGAACCCCAGTAAGCATTGTTTTCTTTTGATAGCTTGTGTTCACAGAAGTACAGTTTGACTTTTAAGGTCAAATGAAGTAAATCTTTAACTTCAGATTGACATGATGGTATTGATATCTTAAACATTATAACAAGTTTTCCAATTACGAAAAAAAATGGTGTTAAATTTGTAGCAAAATGCTTGCGAAAATTGGATCTCAAAGGTCATGACTTTGACCTTTAAAGTCAAAAGTTTGCGTTTGGTTCTGGATTTGAAAACTGTTTTTCTTTTGCAGGGGTACCTTGACCCAGAGTACTTCTTGACTCATAAATTAACCGACAAAAGTGACGTTTACAGCTTGGGTGTCGTATTTCTCGAACTCTTGACGGGAATGCATCCGATCACACATGGCAAGAACATTGTTCGAGAGGTATTTCCTTACCATTTTTTATACTCCCTCCTTTTGGAGGAAAAAGAAAAGCCTTAACGGACAACTCAACTGGCAATTTGAGTCTCCTCAGGGCGGGGCCACTGGGGATTTTTTTTCTGGCTTTTATCTTCTGGGCCCCATGGGATTGGTCGAGGTGTACGCAAGTTGGCCTGAACACCCATAGTTACCCAAACAAAGGGAGGACGATACAGTTTGATTGTCAATTTGGACAAAAAGTTAATTACAGGCAACCCCAACCAAGCCCACACGAACCCGCCTCCAAGGACACCAATGTGAGAGGGCCGGTTGGGGTTGCTGCCAGTTATCCACATGATTGACAAAAGTTGTCCGAAAATGAATAAGAAAAATATGGTGAAAAGATAAGAGTTTGCTTTTTGCTGTTGAATCAAGAAATCTTGATTCAATATTAAAGTCGTTGATGTGGATGCTACAGAAGTAAACTAAGAGTGTTATTTTAGGGATCCCGTAATCAACGTGATTCATAATTAAGAACGTTGAGAACCAACTATTCATAATGAATATGCATGAATATTATTCATCTTGACATGTGTATTTTCGTTCATGAATATTATTCATCATGAATAGTTGGTTCTCAAATGAACCTGCCCGGTACGCTAAACTAATCGTCTTTGTTTTAATCCATTTGTCAGGTTAATATTGCTTATCGATCCGGCATGATATTCTCCGTCATCGATTCAAAAATGGGATCTTATCCATCTGAATGTGTCGAAAAGTTTGTGACCTTAGCCCTCAACTGTTGTAAGGAAGACACGGATGAACGACCATCGATGGTCGAAGTCGTTCGTGAACTCGAAAACATATGGCATATGATGCCCGAATCCGACTCGAAAACCCATGATTCAATCGATATCGAACACGGGAAGAATGTGTCTTCTCAATCTTCATCCTCTACAACAAAGAACCCGTATGTTTCCACTGATATATCTGGCAGTGATCTTGTTAGCGGTGTTGTTCCCACCATTGCACCTAGATGAACAAGAATCATATACTCTTTTTATGTAGTTATAGTTGATTTTTGAATTGGGGTTTCTATTTTACGGAGGTAGGTTCTGTGTACATCTTATCCTCCAGATCCTGTCTCTGTATCTGTATGGGATATACTGGATTCGTTTGATTTAGTATGATAATTAGGGGGTATTTAACACACGATAAATAATGTATTAAGGAAGACATATTTATATACGTATAGGAAACACCGATTGTGTATGTGGAAATGGTTGCTCTATTCTTTTAGGTATAGGACGACAATCTGGTCGTGCATTCATTCATTTGGATGTTATTCGATAAGGGTGTGATTCGTTCAGTTTAACCGGTTTTCAACTTTTACCCGATTTTTAAAAAAGGTGCGTCATGTCGTAAGACATATCTCTGCCGTTATGTAAAGGTCCATGGCATTTAATTCTATTCTGAATACCTTATCACAAACGTTTTATATAAAACTAGTTAATTTTTATATGAATGTAAATTTTTTAATATCATTATATTATTAAATAATAAATAGAAAACATATATGTACAGATATATAAAAGTTATACATATCACATACAAATTTGTCGCCTTATGTCACGCCTTAAAAACGTTGCGTTCTCACCATGATGTGTAAGGCTTCAGGCTTGAGGTTGCCGTCACGCCATTTTGAACCTTGCTTTTACCAGAGTGCCCAACCATCGAACCACATAGGGTTCGATTTAGTTGGTTTGAGGTTATTCGGTATAATCGGTTTCGTGTTGTTCAGTTTAGTAATCCGGTAAATCAAATAGTTCATATTTTCTATCTAGGAATTTTCCGAATACAATGTCCATTGTTTTCATTATATATGATTATATCATACTCGACAACTGTACCAGCAACCAAAAATGAAAAAGTGTTATTGTATAATTTATTAACTGATTAATTTCAAAGCGGGTGATGCAAGTACAGAGAAACCGAATAGTTTTGTTTGTATGGAAATTAAATATATAAAATAATGGTATAATTTGTTATCTGGTTTATTCAATTTTAATTAAACAGTAAAGAAAATCAAAAACAAAACTGAATAAGGTATTCTTATTTGGTTAACTGAACTGTATGACCAAGAACCCGAATAACTGAAACCATTTAAACCGAACCTGATTTGGTTCACGTGGATCATCTGGTTTTAGTTTTTTTCCGACGCCTGTATGTTTGATCATGTTTTATTGTTGGTACAAAACTTATGCGGTATCTTTCAAACCAACGGTGACTTAAAAACATGCATGTCTTAGAACACTATTTAGACAAAAACACATGGTTCGATTCGATTACATGAAAACATAGTACAAAAGGCGCACACGTTTTCCGATTTTCAGAAAATCTTAAACGGGCTCTCAACCACGAGGATGAGTCCCCTGTGTCTACTGCCAACTATGATGTTTGCTCCCCGTCCCTCGTGTCGCACCAAGATCTAAGATCCGACCATGCCCTTCAACGATTACGTCTCCAACTCAGTGGTAGCACAGAGGTTAGACCAAGATCGAGCTTTTTACCCTCTTCAGATCCATTAGCATTGCATCAACATTGTTAACGTTGATGGTCAACTTAACTAACAAATAACTTCTAAGCCTTAGGGCTACTTCCTATACACAGCCCAATTCCGTAATTCGAATATCCTAGGGATTTCCTAGTCCGGCCCGTAATCGGTTCTACCAGTCCCGGTCATTCAACTGAAAATCTGTAACCAGTAAGGCTTTGATATAACCATTTTTCTAAAAATAAAATCGTAACTACCTCTTAACCATTTCTCCAAGAAAAAAAATCGTAACCCAACTTAATCTATCGGGCCCTAACCGGGCTTTATCGATCCCAATACCTCCAACGTAACCGGTAGAGATGAAATTTTTACCCGTCGGGGATGACATCACCCACTCTTAATCCGACCTGATTAAATTTTTTATTTTATTTAATATATATATATATAATGTATGTATAAATAAATTGTTGATTAATATAATGAAATATTGACAATCCCAACCCAAAAGTCAACCAATTTGGGCTACCCTTCTAGAAGCCCATAATTAATAACGGCCCAATTTCAACACGCCGATGACGCATTCCCTTACGTAGCCCACCAAGCCCATTTAACCTCTATATATAAACACCGTTTCCTCTCGCCCTAACTAGGGTTCTTCAGGAAGATTTTGCGCAGCACCGTCTACCGAGAAAAATTAGCAATGGGAAGAAGTATGTTTTCTTCTCGATATCTTCATCGTTCTTGTCGATTTATGTTATTTGAGCTATTTATGTTTTGATTTGATTTGTTATGTGTTTTATGGTTTTATTTGAGGTCTGATTATATGAGTTTGAAATCTGTTTTCTCGATGCGATGAGTCTGAATTTTGTGGCAATAGTTTGTCCTCTAAGGTTATATATGGTATATGTTTTGGAATGGATTGCTTGACCTCGTTTTAGATTACTATATGAAATTATCGGTCGAAGTTCCAGTTTTGAGACGATATGCTATGCTGTTTGGCTGATGTCTGCATTTTTTAGATCTTACGTACTCGAATGTAGCCTACAACTACAATTGGTTTGATTTGAGACACTATGCTATTTGGCTGGATATATGTATTTTTTGGATCATACTTGCTCGAAAGTAGCCTGCAAGTGCAACTTTTTTTTTGATTAATCTGCATATCTAACCCGCTATGCCTGCAAATGCAATTGGTTTGATTTGAGATGGATTCCGGTCCTCAGGGCTAACGTATATGCTTATTTCTTTTGTGGTTAAATAATGGCTGTGTGTTTGAACCAGTTGACTGATGTGAATGTAATTTATAGTTGTTGATATTAATAAACGTAGGATGTTTGATTCAACGATTCATTAGTTTATAATGGTTCTATGAAATATTGTGTTTTTTCAAGGATTTTTGCTTTATGGTTTTATCTTTTGGCACCCTTGTGTAGCTCCACAAACTAGTTCAATAAAATCCAGACTCATTGCAATTGAAAAAACAGATTTCAAAATCATGTAATCTGGCCTCAGCTAAAAAACATAAAGACACATAACAGATTGAATCTATGAGCTGTTTAGGTTTTGATTTGGTTTCATAGATTAGATCTGTTATGTGTCTTTATGTTCTTGTTTGAGGCCTGCTTACATGATTTCTGTCAGGTATGTCTTTGACATGGATTTCTTTCTCTGATTATTTCTGTTACTATATGAAAGTATCGATTAGATGGTTGTTGGTGTATTTTGATGATAGTGGTGGTGGTTTGCAAGTAATCGATCTATGGTTTCACCTTTTGCACCCCATGTATTTCTAAGCCTGTATGTCATTTCTTAGTTATTCTTGCATATCGTTTAACTCACTATCGTTGAGTTCACATAAACATGTGTATTTGAAATTTGACATGGGTATGCATGTATATATGCTTGATTTAATCTGAACTTCCCACTGGGGAAGTTACAGCTGTGATCGAGTGCTTACGAACAATATTTTGTATCATGCAGGACCGGCTAGGTGTTACCGTCAGATCAAGAACAAGCCATACCCAAAGTCTCGTTACTGCCGTGGTGTTCCTGATTCAAAAATTAGGATCTACGATGTTGGCATGAAGAGGAAGGGTGTTGATGAGTTCCCCTTCTGTGTTCATTTGGTCAGTTGGGAAAAGGAGAATGTCTCCAGTGAGGCTCTTGAAGCTGCCCGTATTGCTTGCAACAAGTATATGACCAAGTTTGCAGGAAAGGATGCGTTCCATTTGAGGGTTAGGGTTCATCCGTTCCATGTTCTACGTATCAACAAGATGTTGTCGTGTGCTGGAGCTGATAGACTCCAGACCGGTATGAGAGGTGCTTTTGGCAAACCACAAGGTACTTGTGCTCGTGTTAGCATCGGTCAAGTTCTTCTCTCTGTTCGCTGCAAAGATACCAACAGCCAGAATGCTCAGGAGGCACTWCGTCGTGCTAAATTCAAGTTCCCTGGCCGTCAAAAGATCATCGTCAGCAGGAAATGGTATATAAACTATACAAGTCTATTGGTCATGCTAATGTTTTTTTTTCAAGTTTTAAGTTGAACACCGAAGAGGCGGGTTAGATGTTAACAACGCACCATTTTTTATGACACGTTCTCATTAATAACATTTGTATTATGGTTATTGTTTCAGGGGATTCACCAAGTTTAGCCGAACTGATTACGTGCAGTGGAAATCTGAAAACCGTATCATGTCCGATGGTGTTAATGCCAAGGTATTCATTCACATACATTGTAGACATCATTTTTATTATAGTTTGACAGTGTTCTAAATGGCTCGCTGCAACAGCCGCTGTCTCTCAAGGCTTGTGTTTGATGCCACTATAAGGCTGTGGGAAGCCATGGCCAAATGCGTGGTTTTCTTAAGGCTGTCACGCCTTGAAAAACTTTGTAGATTAGCCGTGTCTCCCAAGTCTTGAGGCTTTGCCTTGCCGCCATGTTGCCATTCCTCATGTCATTTAGAACCTAACAAGTGATTTCCAACATTTGATTGTTTTACTTGCTGCATCTGCACTTCTTGTTTTCATTATCTAGATTCTAGTTGCTTGTTCTTGTTGCTTAGTTTTCAAGCAGTGAGTTTGAGTAGTCATATTAATGGATCATGATTGATCAAGAGTGCTTAACTTGAAAATTTTAGTGGCTGTTTTCCAAATGCTTACTGGGTAAGCACTTATTTGCAAGAGTTACCACAATAGCTTATGTTATCTGGTAACATTCTTGGTAACCGGGTAAGAGTTTTATTTCTTGGTCCTTGCAGTAAGGTAAGTGACACCCAGAAAACATTCGATAGATTACCCTTTGGTGTCAAAGCTAGTTACAAAATCTTGTTATGTGTTGTTGCTTTGTTTCTTTTTATGGTTTTTGTGATTGGAGACGTGACGAGTATACTGTTTAACGATGTTGCAGCTTCTTGGATGCCATGGACCTCTTGCAAACCGTCAGCCTGGAAGAGCTTTTCTAGATGCCGTTGCTTAAGCTAGCTGTTATTCATGTTGGAAACTAGCAGCTTTTTTTTGTAGTGAACTTAAGACTGTTTGTTTTGTTTGTTCACTAGAATTTGAAGTCTTGTTTTATGTTTTGGCCGCTATGTACTGAAAGAACACATTCGTGATATGAATTTGAATTTGAATGGTCTTCCATTAATCTCATAACTGTGATTTCCATGTGTTTATGCCCTTATTTTGGTTTGTAACTTGGCAAAAAGCTACTTGTTTTATATTTGTTTGTGGTTGTTCGGTTGTTTTTTCATTAAATCTGCTATGAAAATAGTGAACTATGTAGATTAATCCGTCTGTATGGACTTGGAAGATGTGAATCTTATTATGCAGTCTACAAATCAAACCTTGGTATATATTTAGGGTTCTATTTATACTAAAATCTTGTCTAGGTTCAATTGTATTAGTAAGCAAGGGAAAAACTCTAACTCGGTAAGAGACAGGACAACAACCGAGGTTCTTACCTACTAAGGGCTAAGAGTCTTACCCGATTAGCATTTAATGGGAAAGATACACATATAATGAATCTATTTTGATGGTCGAAAATGTTATTCGACAATCGAAATGACGACAATGATTTTTACTTTAAGTGCTTACTTGATAAGCATTTGATAAACGATATATAGTATCATTTGTTTAAACCATTGTAAGTTTCAATTACTAATTATTTGGCTTTTTGAGGTTATCAAACTTGATATCATACTCCGGAGTTTGTATTCATTGAGAATGTCCTTGTTTATATTTGAAAATCGATAAATGTCTCCACTTTTTGATAGCCAAATTTTTTAATCAACTAGTGTGATGTAAAGTAGATCACATTTGTCCTGATGAGTAAGGTGGACACACACAATAAGTTTTTACATGATTACTATGATGGTTGTGAAACTGATACAATATAAACATTTCAGAAGATGACGTCATATTTTTTCTTCCTTGCAAAATAGTTTGCAGTTCTCTTGATTTTTGTTTGATTTAGACCCGGTGTCAATTGGGTGTGTTCGGAATTGTTTGTATCAAGATGCATTGATATGTTGGTGTCTTCAATTCTTTTAAAAACCAAATTCAAATGGTTTGTATTAAGATGCATTGATATATATATATATATATATATATATATATATATATATAAGTACTTATTGTACCCTATAATATAATTATTGATGTTTCTTCATAAACACAAGTACAATCATATGTTAAATAGTTAAAGTTCAAGTAAGTGAAATGAAAAAAAGCAGAAGAGTGACATCTAACCTCCCTCCAAAGAAAGTAGTCACCATTTTGAATGGTTGCATTTCCAAATAATACCACAAATTAAAACATGACAGAATAGCACACAAAAATGTCCGACTCCCACATTTGGAGTGAAGTCAAACCCAACGGGAAAAAAACGACTTTTTTGTCCCATCAAAATAGTTGAACAAAAAAAAAAGATAAAAACATTCCACAATTTTTTGCCCTTAAACCGGGTTCTTTTATAAAACCAAATTGGAAAAAAATGAAGAAAAATTATAAATTATATATCATAATGCAAATAACATCTTTAGAACTATTTCCATTTAATTTCAGAATTTTTTTATTAACCTGGATATCCAATTCGTTATACGAGCCGACTAATCTCAGGGCGACCACCTGCTTTGCAAATATCCCGGAGTCACCGCATTTGAACCTCTGTGGCCACAAGAGGATTTTTATTTCTCCTTGGATTTGAACATGAGATCTCTAGGTACTCTTGACCTTTGGAGCCAAACTCAAACCAATCAGGCACCACCCTTATGGTTAATTTCAGAAATATTTGCTGTCATTTTGAAACAAAATTTGTAGATAAATTACATTTTTGTCCTATAGTTTGTTAACAGTTGTGACTTTGTTGTTATGGTTTTCGTCCTTGTGGTTTGCAATTTATTGCTATTTTCATCCATAAAGCTAACTTCTACCTTTAAGCATGAGGGACGAAAATAACTATGAATTTCAAATCACAAAGACAAAAATAGCAATAAATTGTAAATTATAAGGACAAAAACAATGAATTGTAAATTATAAGGATGAAAATGGTAATTTTAAAAGTATAGGGACGAAAATAGCAATTTTCGACAATCCACAGGGACGAAAAACGTAATACTTGCTATAATTTGTAATACTAACCAAATAGCTAAGCGCCATGAATTCTTGTTTCAACCTTCATGACAGCATCTACAAGATGGAGACTATCAAAAATGCTTAAAAACCTCTTCCATCAATCAAAAAGGATCGGTTTTCCGCCTTCTTTCGGATTCACTGTCCATTTCGTTTTCTGGTAGAACGCCGTGTAGCGGTCACATTTTCCTTCGGTTTCTTGGTTTGATGGCTGCCTGCTTTTGGCTTTTCCCCCTTTTTTTCCGTTGAGCTTTCAAGTGTCGCTTTTCGCCTCTTTGGTGCCGTTGAAATCTCTTTGGTTTCAGCAGCTTCTTTCCCGTTTTCTGCTGAGCTGTCAAGTGTCTTTTTTCGCTTTTTTGATGCTGTTGAAGTTTCTTTGGTTTCAGCAGCTTCTTCCTCGACATCTTTCAGCTTCTTCCCGTTTTCTGCTGAGCTGTCAAGTGTCTTTTTTCGCTTTTTTGATGCTGATGAAGTCTCTTTGGTTTCAGCAGCTTCTTTTTCAACATTAGACATATTATCATCTGATGCTGCTTTAACTATGTAAATCTGCAGTAGCATTCAACATGGAATCTCTAAGAAATTATGTGAATGTCTCTATTTTCTTCCCTTGTGCATGAAAACAACTCATTTCCATTTTTGGGACTTTCCAATTCTACCCTTAACATCTCTTCCTCTATATATAAGGGTGAAGTTGTCATTTAGTTGAATAAAGAGCGTAACAATTACATATTATTAAAATTGTGTGCCTTTTTTTTGGGACAGAGGGATTAATATCTATTTGCCCAATGTCGTTGTCACTCAAAATAGCAACCTTGATTGGATTCTACGAGATTCTCTTGTTTGGCCGCATTGAAGGGTGTTGGCGTTTCATGCATTTGGAGGGATAATTAAATCCCTTCGTAAAACTATGTGGTGAGTTTTATGATGTACTATACCCTGGGTCCGAAATAAGTGTCCGCATTCCTATTTTAGTTTGTTTCAAAATGAGTGTCTACTTTCTCATTCTACCCTTAATTATGAGATGGAGAAATTCATTACTCCCTTTATGAGTAAATTTGTCATCTAGTTAATAAAAAAAGTGTAATAACTACACATTTCTAAACTTGTCTCTTTTTTATTGTGGACATTTATTTTGGGACGAACAGAGTAGTTCTTATGGGGTGAAGAGGCATTTCTTTTTTCTTTTTTCATTAGATGCAGGTGGTGGTTGTGGTGAGGGAGGAGTGAGAATATGTGGAATCCCATCAATTACCGTTTAAAAAAGCCGTTGAGGATAGAAGAGGATTCCAATATATATTGGAAAAAAAGGGGTCCAAGTCGAGCCGATGTGGGACTCCAACATTCCCCCTCCAATGGAGGCTAGACAAGTACACATGCGCGTTGAGTCCCTTTGAGCTTGGCTATGATACAATGTGAAAATTCATGGAACCCCATCAGATTACTTTCCAAAATAGTATTTGATAAGAGAAGGGATTCCAACATATATCGAAGAGAAAATAACATTCCAACTAATACCAAAAGAGTATTTGATAAGTCTAGCCAGTGTCAGATCATCCAACCTTCAATGATATTTAAGTAGGGGTCGTACCAGAATTGGCAAATAACATTCCAACTAATTATGGAATAAAATGCAGACATGCTTCACAGAGATACCTCAAATCTTTCGGGTTGATTAATTCAAATACGAAAGTATTGACATACCTTGAATCTGGTTGGCTCAACCAATTCAAACACCAAAGCATCACCATCGTCCAATTTGTGTTCTAAGGCAAATGCTCTCCACCCACCACTAAGTCCAGTTCTTTCACTAATAAATACAGCATCATATTCATTGCCGTCCTCATTTTCCAGTACCATACTTACAGTGGACTTGGGAAGATGTTTCTTGCAGAAGCTCGTAGGTAGCCCCTATAGAGATGAAAATCAACCAAAAAGACACATATTTGGTTAACTTTTTATATGAGTAGTTACAGTAGCTTAAACTTTTAACAAAGATTGGAGACTGTACGCAGGACAAGATGGTAGATAAACCTCTGTCCTACATTTGGCCTGAAATTAGACTGGGAATAACATGACTTGAGTGGGAAATGATGCATTTTTATGTCCCAAAAAAATAGGTGGAACTTATGGAGATGGGACAAGATATTTGTAAATTACTAAACTACCCATGCCAAATTGAAATCCTGAAACCTTCCGCAATTTTTCACCTGTGTACCTCACTTTCACATGTCCAGTCCGATCCGTGTACTAAACACACCCTTAAAGAATCACTCCTATCAAGTGAGGTGGTGGTTTCCTGGTTTTAGTCTTCTATTTGTTCTTTTATTATTATTATTATTTTATTTTTTTTGGGGGAGGGGGGGTATATAACCGAATTGTTCGATTTTGCCACTTACCAACCAAAAGCAACTGTAAACATGAGAACGAACCATTGACTTCACAAAAGAGGGATATTCAGACTGCAAATTGCTTTGGACCTTCTCTGCACTCCTAATTGCCTGAACCCTTTCTTCGTATGAGGCAGTTTTGACTTCTTCCAACGGTCTTGCAAGATAACTGAAAATAAATATCATCATTATGAGCCGTAAAAATTTATCCGCCATATGTGGTAAATAATAACTTCACTATATGCCATTTGAACCTTGCCCATGATGAGTTAGAATTTGATCTCCTCCTCACAGATGGGAGACCTATATCAAGCTGTGAAAACAAGAAATTTAGAAATTAGTCATGGAATTATATAAGATATTTCTGCACGTAAGTTAAGTATACTCTTCCTTTTAGATTGAAAATATAACGAAGATATTACAATATTCCATGGCGTAAAAGTTTCTTCCATTCTCCATTTTAATAGTACAAATGGAACTTGGGACAATGCAGATGAAGAAACATGGAGATCAAGATTTGTGATCACGAGTTGCATCATACAGTTTAGTGTCTGACGTTGGAACCAAAGTTACTATATATTTGTTAAGCATAAAAGATCATTTGAGTACGATCAGAATTTTTCACGCTGGCACAAAATTTTAACCGCTATGCATCTTCTTTTTAAAGAAGATGTCTTTATTATATTTAAGACGCATCCTTGTTCTAATAATGAGTTCTAGAGAAATTTCCAAATTTCGAAATCCTTCGGATTAGCACATAGCAGAGATCAAGTTGATGACAATAATATCATTAGGTATCAGAAGTTATGATCAAACACTTGTTTATTGCATGTTAATAGAATTAAAATCATGCTATGCATTCCTATTATATCTGCAAGAGTAATTAATAACATATGTGCCTCTTTTCTATACCCTCAGGGTAAAAGTTGATAGTGAACTTACATCATCTTGGTACGAAGGAGCAGGGTTGCGTGCACGCGTTGACCGTCTTGGTTCTATAACTAAAGCATTCCTTATTTTTGGTTTCACTTCACGTTGCTGTTTTAAAACAAACAAAAATGTCATAGATGCTCATGCATTCACGTTTGTCATGAACATGGATCCAGAAGTGTAGAAAATACTAACACTACCTTGGACTGCTTCTCAGATTTTGAAAGATCTGATAAGCTTTTAGAAATCTTCAAGATTCCCAGATCCTTAGAAACAAACAATGAGAATAAGAAATCTTGCAAGTTTTACCATATCACCCATGAAATCAAATTTGCTAACAATATTGAAGGTGAAATACCTCGAATCTCTTTTTGTTCTCAAGTAGTTGTTGCTTACGAGCCTCTTCGTAACTATTGGAAGTGATCTCCTCAGCCATCAAATCACTTCTTGCTATGACAGAGACAACAAAATCTATGAATCTCTAAAGGTTAAAAGAACATCTGATCGGTTGATAAAAAAAATAGCATATAGAAAGTACCCCAAGTAATACATACTTATTTGTGCAAATGCACATCTGTCCCCCACAATAGGGAGCTTACCGTGCAGTTGAATTTCACATTCGTACTCTTGGCGATATGCTATACTTCTTGCAAAATTCTAAAAGCTACCCCTCAATCCGTCCCACATGAATTGCAACATTCAACACAACACTTTCTTGGATAAAATCTTTTGACTATCAATCAATCACTAAAATACCCTTCGACAAAAGAAGAGAATTTTGTGAACAGAAGACGATTAACATGAGTAAATTGTAATGACACAATAGGTAAATAAGTGGTTTTAGCATATAAATCAAAAAAGACACCAGGCAATAAAACATTTCAATTCTGATGTGATACAGCCCAAAATAAAATTTGTTTTAGCTTTCATGGAAACAGCAGAATTAAGAAGACGTACTTTGATCAATTACTCTTCTTGGCGTAGACTTCCAGATACCAGGTACGTTCTTCCCCAATTCAATTTAGCAAGAATGGAACTGCAAATCTGCAATAGCACAATACAAATTCTTCAAAACTCAACAAAACGTACAAGTTCCAGAATAATTAAACGAGAGCCAACAATCGAGCAATCCAAATGTCAGATGCAAGAAATCCATAAAAATTCCATTTTAAACCGTCTTCTGGGATAAACTCTGAAACTAGGGTTTCCTTACATAACCGCATTGCAAATTACCAGTAAAAATCTACATTTCGTACACACAGTGATTCGTAATCAATTACTGATGACTTCAAAGATAATCCGACCACCATAAATGGTTTAAAATCTGAGAAACCACTCTCTACCATCTGCTCGATCATAGTAATGCTCGATTTAACGTTCCTTTCAGATTTTTGCAAGATAAAACAAACAAAAAAACGAAATCTGGAAAACATAGAAGGATTCTAGCTAGATAATCAGGTGAAACAACAATCAACAGAGCACGAACGTACCAGAAATCAGCTCAATGGTCTGAAGAAGTTCGTGCTACAAAAACACTTGTTCGAGAGTGGAAGTTTGAAATTTTGAAATGGCGGTCAAATAAATTGATACTTTTTGGAAATTGTAATTTAGTCCCTAAACACTATTATTAATAACACTCTTACCCCCCACAGATGCACGAGGGGCCTTTCTGGCCGTTTTTATAATCTATACCTCTTTTATAAAAAATAATTTACTGTTATTCTTTTTTTGATTAACATGGATATCCAACACGTTATGTGAGCCGACTAATCCTAGGGGGACCACGTGCTTTGCAGATGGCCCGAAGTCACCGTATTTGAACCTCCATGGCCACAAGGGGATTTTTATTTCTCATTGGATTTGAATCTGTGACCTCCTAGTACTTTTGACCTTTGAAGCCAAGCTCAAACCAATCAGGCACCACCCTTGTGGTTATTTACAGTTATTCTTAAAATCTTAAAAATCAAATCACTTTTAATTTTAAAATTGGGAAAAGTACAATAAAAACCAATGAACTTTCTTGTTTGGAATGATTAAGTCCTTGAACTTTTTTTTGGAACAAATAAGTCCTTGAACTTTTCAAAACATGTTAAATAAGTCATTGGACAATTTTTTGGCACAAATAAGTCCTTGGACATTCCAAAATATATTAAATAAGTCCTTAAACATTCCAAAAAATGTTAAATAAGTCCTTGGACTATTTTTGGAACAAATAAGTCCTTGAACAATCCAAAACATGTTAAATAACTTCTTGAACTTTTATAAAACATGTTGGATACATTCTAATGACTTGTACAACTAGTTAAAATGGTAATTATTTTTTTGTAAATGTAAGTACTTTTTTGTTATATTTGTTTAATTTTATAGATCTAAATACTTTTTGGTTCAAAAAATATTTAGGGGCTTAATCGTTCAAAATATGAATGTTCATTGGGTTTTTTTCCGGATTTTTTTCACTATTTTACCACTTTATTTTTTTCAAAAAGTTATTTAACATGTTTTGGATTGTTCAAGGACTTATTTGTTCCAAAAATTGTCGAAGGACTTATTTAACATTTTTTGAAATGTTCAAGGACTTATTTGTTCCAAAAATTGTCCAATGACTTATTTAACATATTTTGGAATGTTCAAGGACTTATTTAACATGTTTTGGAAAGTTTAAGGACTTGTTTGTTCCAAAAAAAAGTTCAAGGACTTAATCATTCCAAACAAGAAAGTTCATTGGTTTTTATTGTACTTTTCCCTTTAAAATTTTAAATTATATTTTATATCCTTATAATTAGTTATAGAATTTATTTTATATCTCTTTTTTTTATTGTTTGTTTTACACATTTATCATATTAACATAAATAATCATATATGAACAAAAATACATTAATAATATATTTTTTTTACAAATTATGTCATTATAGTCGTTTCGTCAGTACCTTCAAAATATGTTCATCGTTGAATATTTCTTGATTTAATAATATTATAAAATAGCATAAATACATACCAATCTAGATATTAATATGCATTTATAACAGTTATTGTAGAAAAATTTACATCTATTCAAAATTTAAAGTCAGTTGCATCGTGCAAGTATACAATTAGCAATGAGATGAACAAAAAAAACAAAACATAATATTATATATATATATATATAGAGAGAGAGAGAGAGAGAGAGGGGTTGGTTATTATACAACTCTTTACATTTGTGCAACCAATACAACCCAATCTCAACCGTCCATTTCATTTGATGAATATGTGATTTCATAGAAGTTTTGATTGTTTCCTAATATAAWDTATTAATCATAATTAATGAACTCTATTCATATTCCATAAATATTCAAAT